ACTGAGTAAATGCACCATGTGGCCCCAGTCCATAGTGACAAAACTATTCCCAGGCCAAATAGACATCTTGCTACCCCTGGGCATGTCACCCCTGAGCACGTGCTGTCTCCATCTAGAATATTCTTCGTATTTCTCCAGGTCAAAGGCAACATAGCCAGTTCCAATCCCACCTACTACACAGCACCTTCTACTGTCCCTGGGTCGGAGACCCCTCTCTCCCAGAACCCAGAGAAATATGTACCCTGGTAGCTGGCCATGGCCCAGCTTTTTCTCTTCTCCTCTCCTCCTGGAGGGCTAAGTTCCTACCGGCCTCCTTTTCTATTTAAGCATAGAGTACTGAGCTTTGCACAGGACTGGGGAGCACTGAGCTTTGCACAGGACTATAGAGTACTGTTTTGCATAGTCTGTAGAGCACTGGGCTTTGCACAGTGAAGTACTGAACTTTGCACAGCTCTATGAGGTACTGAGCTTTGCACAGGACTGTGGAGTACTGGACTTTGTACAGTGAAGTACTTACTGAGTTTTGCAGAGTTCTATGAGGAGTTCTGCACTTTCGTAGAAGGAACTCAGTATTTGCCCAATCAAATTTGTACACATCATATCAAGAAGACAGGCAGGGTGAGTTTTCCCAGAGATGTGGCAGGCTGGTTATGAGGCTGTCCAAAAAGCCATTTACACTATTCATGGAATAAAACATCCATTATTTAAGACAGGATGTAGTGATTGCAGGAGAGACTCTGATCAGCTGGGAGGGAATTTGTAGAATGGTGACTCAGAATGGTGACACAGGCGTGGCCTCAGGCGTCCAACACAGATCATAGATGCTAAACGATACTCATGCCTTAAGAGAAGCAACCTTCTAGAGTCACCTAGGCCTGAAGGGCAAACTCTGACCAGGGGTCAGTAGGTTAGAGGTCAGAGAGGAAGGAGCAGGGCTCAGGCTTCCCCAGAAACCCGGGGATGATGGTGTCCATGGGGGATTAACCCCTCCTTGAATCAAGGTTGCCTAGCTGTTCCCGTCCCACAGGGCCACCCAGCAAACCATGGTAGATGCCCCTGCAGGGTCCTGGTTCCCTTGCAAGGGGTGGGGGGTGTAGCTTGATTCTCTGGGGCAGGGTCTCTCTGCCTTTACATGTTATAATCTATTTCTGAGGAAATGGGCTGGGAAGGAACACAGGAGGAGGCTGGGTTTTGAAAGGGGGTTTCTGGAGTCTCCATGGGGCCCCATTTGACCAGGCAGTGGTGGTGCCCATTCTTAGTTGTAGGAAAAGCCCCTGCTGGCCCTTGAAGTCTGAGTGTCTCTGGGGATCTAGGCAGATAAGCTCTGAGCCTGGGGTGAAGATAGTCCAAATGCCTGGGGAACCAAATCCCACTCCGACTGGATTACCGTGGTGTAACTGAGACTTACGGCCAGCAACAGCGCAGCCCTGGGCGACTGCACTGCATCTCACCGATAAGAAGGTCGAGCTGGGGGCCTGTGAACTTCCTGTGATCCCAGGAAACAGTGCCGATCATTAAAATGATTTCTGAGTTTGCAGACAAGGAATCGTAGATAACAAGTGCTACTGTCTTCAACTCTCAAACATCCCAGAGCAGCGGACCCCAGAAGCCTGTGGTCCTCGGCCTTGTGGGTAGGGAAAATGCAGCACCCGCCACTGTCCTCGTCTCAGGGAACCGTAGGGGACAAGGGGAGCCGGAGCCAGGTGGCACCGTTGGGGCAGGTTTATCAGGTTGATTGGTTCTGACTAGGCTTCGTGGCCAGCTAAGCTGAGGGCTGCGGGCTTTGTCAGGAGGAATGATTTTTCGGTAGCATTGGTCAGATTTGAGGGACATTGTGGAAATAGGCAAAATGATGAACCAGGAGTGACAGGAAACACTGCAGGCAGAGGAGTCCCCTGGCTGTGAGGACCCTGTGAGACATCTGTGCACTGCAGGCACTCAGAAACAGACCTGGGAAGGACCCCTCCACTCCCTCATCAAGAGCCCACAGCCTCCACCCTGGAAAGGACTTCCGTTTTCTGTCCAAAGGGCATGGACTGTGTTTCAGTGTTCCAGACAGAATGACAGCCAGGAAACCCACCACATTCTTCTGCAGTCTGGAAGACTTGGAGCAGAGCCTTCCAGGAGGTTAACCATCCACAAGAGTGAGCTGATGGACAGGCTGGATGGCACGCAGCAGAGAGGAACGGCAGGCATTCCTAAGACTCCTGTCAGAAGTGTAGAGAAGGGTGCTCAGGAAAGAGGCACGTCCCAGACATGCCCCAGGTGTGTCCTGGCCATAGCATCCAGTGGAGGAGTGGCTCAAGTACGTCTAAGGCCTCCCCAGGTCTGTTCATTCTCCAGGAAACATCCTTCTGTGAGGACAGCCTGGAGGGTCCCTTCTCTCCTCTCCCAAGTCCAAGAAGGCAGGATTCTCTGTCATGGGAGTGCCTTTCACAGAGCAACATGATCACCTACTGGCTTCAATGATGCGGCATGTGACCAGAAGACAGAAGACTCCCTCCGCCGGGGGCAGTCCAGTGATGAGACTGTCTCTATTAAACCTCTCAGCCAGGACTGCTGGGTTTCCATGACAGACAAGGGGCTGGGGAACCACTGATTTCATAACGTCTGTCTTATAGAAACCCAGTTTTCAAAGCAAATACTGATTCAGGCAAGCTCTGCTGGCCAGTGAGGGGTGGCGTGGTCTTTGGAGCCAGACCAGCGAGTGATTTCACCGCACCCCGATGGCCCATCTGAACGGCTAATTGCTGGAGGTCTCCATCTCTTGGTTTCCACCTTGTACAGGCCGGAGTGACAGTATTCCCAGAAGGTGATGCAACTGTGAAGGTAAGTAGATGAACTTGTGACGGGCCCTAAGTCCAGATGGTGACGGCCAAGGTCAGAGGATGCATCTGAGCAGAGTTATGCCTGACCCCAGCACCCAGTTAAGGAGACCGATCACCCCATCAACTCATATGGAAGGTCGCTCTGGTCTTTTTAACACAACGTTTATCTTTTCTGTGCTCGAATTTGGTTTCTAATGAAGAGTGTATAATGGCTGTCTGTACATCAACTGGCGCTGTCCTCTGCCAAATGACTGACTGGTTCCACATCTGCCTGGGAATGCAGGTAAATCCTGTAGACTATGAGACTGAGGTGGGGTGTCACAAGACCCAGCTGGCTCTTTTCTCTCTCAGTGTGAAGATGCAATGCCTACCACCGATGATCACCAAGAGAGGTTGCACTAGTTACTTTCCATGTGACAAAATACTCCAGCCAGCCTCAGGGACCCTCTGCCTCCCCAGGGCCAGGAGTACCAACGTCTCTGCCTCCCCAGGGCCAGGAGTACCGCTGTGAGGCATAACACCAAGCTTTTTACATCGATGCTGGGGGTCTGAACTCAGGTCCTTGAGCTTTTACAGCATCTGAGCCCTGCCCCATCCTAATGCTGCCCCTGTCTTTCCCAGGAGGAGCAGCTGAACTTCCTTAACCACTCAGGAGCTCCATCCCCCTGTGCTGTCACTATAACTTCTCCAAGTTTAAGTCAGGAGCCATGGAATTGTGCCTGTTCTGTTTTTTTTGGGTTTTCTAACTTATTTTCTGCACTGAACTCACTCCTTTCCCCAACTCACTTTGATTTCCTCAGCTGCGAGAACTCCTGTTCTCACTCACGTGTTTTCTGTTGTAGCCTGCTTATTTTACTAAATCGGCACCGTTGCTTATTCTGTTTATTCTCTAGCACGGAGTGCGTTCTTCTTCTGTTTACTTGACTGTTTTCTTCCGGGGAATTCGACTCCCAGACTGTTTACTCTGGTCTCCTTTTCCTTTGTTTTTATTAAAATCTTGCATTTGACACTTAATCATATGTAAACGAGGTCGATCTTAAATGGGTAGGTGGTTTCTCTTTGCCTCTCCTTCCCACAGTATCCCAGCGTACTCCCAGTCTGGGATACCCAGTGCTAGCTGCCTGAGCACACGGGGCTACTGGAAGAGACTAGGAAAGAGATGCCCTTAAAACTACCACCCTACCCACCCCACCCACACCACATCTACACCCACTCCACACCCACCTGACCCTGTTGGGGAGCATCCTAATCCTGGGATCAAGCATACCCCACCTTGAATCAGGTTCTCATTCCATGCAGGACCCCAGGAAACGGTTTCCCTCCTCTCCTCCGGGCCTCCCATGGCTGATCTCTGGAATTCAGTGTGGCTGGCACACCCTGCCCACCCTTACTTCTCACTTTTCAGATTCATGTGCTCTTTGTATCACCAAGTACTGGGAGAATCCTTGATGTGCTGTCTACCTGGTCACCCCCCCCCCAAGCAGGATCTGGTTCCCCCCACCTCCACCCCCCAGCAGGATCTGAGAACTGGGCTGGGCACAGGCATGTTCTCCACTGAAGTGTCTAGGTTGAGGCTCGTGGCAGATTCCAGTCCTTTGCCCGAGATGACTACCTAGGGGGATGGGCTCCCCATTAGCACCTTCCCCCGGTAATGGGGGGAGGGGCCTGTGGTCCAGGTCTGTTGTTTTTAGCTGCTGTCCTCTCCCCCTCTCTCCTCTGCACCCGTTCAGAACAGCCCACTATGGGAACTGCGGATTCCTTCTGAAGTTTCCAGATAAAACTCAACGGCTACTAAGGACGAAGAAAGAAAAGAGTCAGAAAGAAACCCTCCCAGCAGCTCTCTAACAGCTGACATGCTCCGGGCACCTCCTGCCCCCGAGCACCGGCCTCTCCCTACGCGTGAGCGCCGAACCACCGACAGCCTGCCGGGTCCACTGTGCAGATGGAAAGACTGAGGGCGGACCCCACGGAGGACGACGTCCAAAGCCAGGGCGCTGAGCCGGGTGCAACCGAGCCAGCAGGCCCCCAGGAGCCGGACCCGCAGCTCCCCAGACCCCCCACCCCCGCCCCCCGCATCCATCGGAGCCAGCGCAGTTGTTGCCTAGGAAACGGGACGCGCAGGGAGGAGCCGCACTGCGCAGGCGTAGCGTCCTGGTTGCTACGGCCGCGGAGAGTAGAAATCAAGTTCCGGGAGCCCACTGCAGCCGCCGAGCTCGGGAACCCCAGACTGAAAGGAAGTTTCCCAGTGGGCGAAGGAAAGAAGGAAAGAGGCCAGCCATGTCCAACCTGTAAGTGGTGGGTTATCCGCCTGGGCCAGGTCTCCAAGCGGCTTTCAGCTGGTCTGCCTTTCCCTCTGTCCTTCCGCCCCCCACCCTCGGTCTCCACCGTTCTCTCTCTCCTTTCTGTCTTTTATCGAATTCAGTATGCCTCGGGATGGATTATCTGCTTGTGGACAGGAACCTTAGACCCCTGTCTTCCCCACGCCTAGAAGGAGCTGCAGCCAGGCCTTGCTCAGCGCCCAGTGCCCATGCCTATGGATGATTGAGGCACTTTTCCTGTTAGACTTCCTCTGTAATGAAAGGGTTGCTTGTGAGAACACCTAGGTCCCCAAACTGCATTCCAGAAAGATCTGGAGGAAGCTGAGCCCACAGATAGGTCCTGAGTGTCTCTGGTACCGTCCTATGTTCCTGGCCTGCAGTCACCCAGTGTAGTATGATCCACTGGGGATCCAAGTCACTGCCACAGGCGCCCGGCTCTGAGTGCTGTTTCTGCCTCACAGATGAGGCTGTAAGGGTGTGATATCCAGGCTGTAAGGGTGCACTGGGCACAATGCAGGCAAATGACTCACAGGGCAAACCCACGGGCGGCCACAGGCAGCTCCAGCCCACCTCTGTTCTGAAATGTTCCTGGAAACCCAAGCCTGGTGGTTCCTAGCTCATCCCGGCATGGATAGCTGGGGACCAGGAGAGCAGTTCCAGGCCTGTAGAGACCGAGAGTGTTGGATATCAGTTCTTCATGGAGATGTCTGTGACAAACAGGAACTTGACAGGGTGGTTCAGGGTGGTCTTTATGAGACCTAGAACAAGTGTAGATAAGAGAGGATGGAGAGGGGGCTGGAGAGACGGTTCTGTGGTTAAGAACACCGGCTGTTTTTGCAGAAGACCTGGGTTTGAATCCCAGCATCCACGTGGCAGCTAACAACTGTCCATGACTTCAGTAACAGGGACCTCTTCCGTCCTCCACGGGCATTGCAAGACACTGGTGCACTTACATACATGCAGGCAATACACACGTACACATAAAATATAATAACTTTTAAAAAGAGAGGATGGAGAAGCCATGGGTGAATAGAGAGAAAAGCTAACACAGCAAAGGGACTAAAGTGTCCTGGAAGCCAGGCGGGAGATGGCAGGTGCTGTAGGAGGGTGGCCAGGCTCTGCCTGGTGCTGCTGGATGAGTTCACGTGGAATCAGTTATCCTTGACAGAGGAATGATGGAATAGAAAGATCATTCCAGAAAGAGCAGGAGGAAGTACAGTGCAGTGAAGGCCTAAAGGCATTTCACTGCAAAGGAAAGGGGCAGGGTGGTGGCCATGGCAGGGTACACGGGCGACGGATTCTTTAGACAGGTAACAACAGCATGCGTGTTCACTGAAGGAAATACCCAGTGGTGAGGAAATCAGATAGTATTGGACAAGGGGAGGAGGTAGGTGCCAGCCTTGAGATTGAGAGCCAGTGGGAGGACATGGGACCAGCAGGCAGGTCAGCCTCACACACTGGAGCTCAAGGTGCAGCCACAGCGCGGGGGGAAGCAAGGAAAGGATACTCTTCCAGGAGACATGAGGGGATGGAAAGATGGTGGGTCACAGCACCTAGAGGGACAATAAAGTCAGCAGCTGAGGAGGTAGGACTCAGAGCGAGGGGGCAGGGGAGGTTAGAGGTGGTGTAAAGAACCAGGAGGCCCCTGGACCAACCACATCAAGGACAGGCACGCCCCACAGGGAAGAGAACCCTCCCTGAGAACGTACCCTCACAAGGACCAGGCGTCTCTCAGAGCAGGAAAGGCTGACCACAGACCCAATGGGAAGGATTGGAAACCGCATCATCTGTCGACGGTGGACAGAATTTTCCTTTAGCACACTTAGACCTCCTGAGGAGGCCATGGTGCCTCCCCAGCCCTCAGTGGTGGGATAAGTACCTCAAAGACATAGAGTAATGACCTGGTCTTTCTTAGCTATCATGTTCAGCCCTAACCCAGCACTGCCCTCCTGACTTGAGAATCTGCCGTGTTTCTAGGTCACATGATCAACTCTGAAACCCATTGTAGGCTTTTAAAAACACTAGGCATGGGGGCTGGAGAGATGGCTCAGAGGTTAAGAGCACTGACTGCTCTTGCAGAAGACCCGGGTTCAATTCCCAGCACCCACATGGCGACTACGAACCGTCCTTAACTCCAGTTCCAGGGGAATCCGAAGCCCTCATATTCTCTGTGTGTGACCAGTTGTGGAATTCTGCAGTAGCCTCCATCTGCCAGAGTCCTTGGTTATCTCCGCTGGCATTGCATGACACGGGTACACTTACATACATCCAGGTAATACACTCATACATACAAAACAAGAATAATAAATAAAATATTTTTTAAAACACTAGGCAATCTCAGGGTTGAAATGCCTTTAATTCCCAGCACCATCACACCTGTGACCCCACCCTGCAGGAGTCCTCTAGAGAGGAGGTGTGAGCACAGGGAGTGGGTGTGACCTGAACCTAACTACTTTGAGAAGAGGAACAGCTTTGGCCCTATCACACTCTCCCCTTTGACAGCCTCCTCACCACAATCAGCAGAGCGAGCACACACCCCCAGAAAGAATTGTGGGGGATGCTGAGGCAATGGCAGCATCAGTATAGAACGGACATGTCCTGAGGGTCTGTCGGCTGGTGGTGGGTAAACCACACAATGTTGTGCGCACTCCACAGGATGTTGGCATTAAATAGCAAGAAGTCCAGCTTGTGCTACAACACGTGGACTCGACAAACCCCATGTGAGCGGAAGGCATCACTCGGCTTAGGATGGGACTCCATTTACAGACAGCCCCGGGTCACAGTCTTGCCACTTCATGGAGTATGAAAGTCACTGACACTCAGTAGACACTGTGCTCTGAGTTTGAATGTGGATCTTTTCCTACGCTAATGATTTGTATCTTATCCTCCGAACGGTCAGCCCTCAATCTAGAAGGAAACCTGCCTCTCTACAGTGTGCCATGTGGCTGAGCTAAGTCCATCCCTAGATTAGGATCATCAAATCCATTTTCCAATTACAGTGTCTTCAATTTGGTGCAACTGTTCATGGGATTGTCTAGAGCTGGCCAACAGAGGCATAGACAGGCAGGGAGGAAGCAGACTCAGTAGTGACTTGATGGTACAGGTTTCTTTTGCAGTAATGAAAATGTTCTGGAAATACGCTGCAGCAATGGTTGCACAACACTGTGAATGAGATACTAAAGGCCCTGAAGACAGGGCCCCTGGTGGTATGTGACATGTCACCACATTGCTTCTGTTAAACCCCATCTTGCCGTGTCCCTCATCTCACATCATCATCATAGGACCCACGTGGGCAGAAGGACCTGGAATCTGCAGAGCAAGTGTGTGGATGCATGCCATTCTGGCCCTCTGAGGGAGGCCGGAAATCAGCTAGTGTGACTGAGGCCTGGTAGCCGGGCCCCTGAGTGGTGGGGTGTGGCTGTGGATGCACGGAAGAGGGTGAAGGTGGGAACCAGAGTCTCTAGGGAACAGGCCTGGCAGAAGGAAATGGAGCCATCTTCAGTGCTGAGGAAATCGGGCTGAGATGTGGAATTTTCAGGGCCACATAACATTCCACATTTCTGCTCAACCAGCCCCAGGCCTGTTCTCTCCAGATATGGGTCCCTAAAAGACAGTACTGAGGAAGAGAGAGCCTTCGAATCCAGGGCAGGCCCTGGGAGGCTTGAGCCACCAGGAATGTCCTTGAGTTCCAGCTCTGCTCAGCTCTGGCCTTGGACGCATCCTCCTAAAGCAGGTGCGTGCCTGGGCCCTGTGGAGAGCACAGACCCCAGCTGGCCAGACGTCCCATTGCAGCACCCGTCACACTGAGATTCTACTCCACCAGGGCAGTTTGGAGTTCTGAGGTGGAAGCAGGCATAGCGTGAGTGTGGGTCTGGGTGGAGTCAAGCTACCCGTCTGCAGTCTTTGAAGACAACCTCCTCCCGGGGCTGGCCACTCAGTTCAGTGAGTTGATGTATAAGTTGCCTTTTATCTTTTACCATTTATTCTGTCTGCACCTTTAAAAATTAGAATACTTACTCTCAGTAGATTATTACTGGACTCTTGATATTAAATTTATAGACCCATCTCCAGACTTTTATATACACAGTATAGAGACTGTGTCTTTGGGCAAGAGGAGATAATGTCTTGTGCTTTTTCTCGTCTTACAGCTTCTGGAATTTTCTTCAGCTAGCTCTTCATAGCCCTCAATGTGCTTCAATGTCCTTTGCTTGAACTATAGATAGGATTTCTTTTTTCATTTTTTCTCTGCTTTTTATTTGTTGTGGGCGTCATCTAAGCCTTTATGTTCTAAATTGATATTCTTTATATTTATTTTTATTTCATGTGTATACATGTTTTGCCTGCACCTATATAAGTGTACCTGTGTTGTGCAATGTCCACAGAGGCCCGAAGAGGGCGTCAGAGGCTCTGGAACTGGAGTTACAGATGGTTGTTGGCCGCCATGTGGGTGCTGGGAACTGAACTCGGGTCCTCTGCAAGAGCAGGCAGTGCTCCAGCCCTGAAACTCTTTTACTGATGTTGTCACACTTAGCAATCAAGGCAAACAGACCTCAGCGCTGGAACTCTTTTACTGCCAAGCCCTTATGTTGCTCGTTCATCACCTTTCACCCCTAATTCTGGGGGACATAGTGCTGCTGTTTCTCTGCGGAGGATGTCCTGGTCTCTGGTTTCAGGATCTTGCATGACTCAGCACTCAACATGTACATGGGGCGTCTTAGCTCTGGCGCGGCTGCCTGTCAGCATGTTGAGCAACTTCTCAACTCCTGTGACTGCACTGCAGTTCACAGCTGTACATGTCAGGTGCACCCACGTCAGCCAAAGATATTCCTGGACTCACCCAGCCTTGGTTAGGGGAGCAATGCTTTTGTTTGGTTTGCTAAATGGAGTTTCAGATCTGAGTTCTGAGCAGAAAATTAGCCCATGGTTTTCTCCTTTCACCGTGTCCATCAGCTTAGGCACAGTGATGGTCA